CATCAACTAAGGTTCGTTAATTGTAGAAGGTATGTGAAGGTAGGAAACGGTACGTGCTCTTCCAACAACTATATAAAATAATGAATAATGATTCCAAGTGAAAGTGATCAAATGAAGGTAGTAGTTGTGTAGCATAACATTATCACATGAATTTTTCGAGTAATATGCAGCTAGTAAATACACAAGCAGCAGCTTTAAAATATTATATTAATTATATTTATTGTTATTTAGATAAAATGTAAAACATTGATAGGCATAACTTATAGCTTATATAATTAATTGTCATATAATAGAATACAAGTTTTTTTAATATTTAATTTATATACTATTATTTTATTGTAACCACCATTATTGAGACTCTATCGAAGTGCCGTACTGTAGTAATAATAAGATAGGCAGCCTTGACATTACAATATAGATGGCAATTAGAATATAATGTTATAATTTTAGATTCTGAGCGGAGCAATGGATAAATTGATTTTATAATGATTTGTTTTTATGTGTGTCTGTGATCACCTTTTGGGGCAGTAAAATACTTAAATTTTCTTCAACAGCATTTTTTCTTATGAGAAAGTGAATCTAGTTGGTACTTTAAGGGGGTCACAAGTAAAGAATTCCCAATAATTTTCAAAAGCGTCAGGAAAAACAAACAAAATATCAAGGAAAACCTGAGATTCTTAGCAATAGGTAACAGTTTTTAAAAAATTTTATTTTATTTTGTGTAACTCTAAAAAAATAACAGAATTAGATAAAATGTTCAATGAATTTTTATATTAGCAATTTCTATGTAGTTACTAGGTACCTTTACATTTTTGAAATATTTCGACTCTGAGCTATTATTATAGCATAAGACAATTTCGAGTTTTATTAGTTTCTCGTTTTTTTTTAACTATTGTCGATACAAAATTGTTCGTTCGGTAAAAAATAAGTTGAAGTTAGTAGAAATAAAAAAAAGAGTTGAGCAAAAATCCACAAAAATTTTTTATGAGCATCTGAAGTTAAAATGCTGACTAAGTTCATCAAAATCACGAAAATTGGCAAATTATTTCGAGTTAGAAATCTATAAAAATGTTTCTATTTATTATCTGAGCTTTGAAAATATAATAGGTATACGATTCCCCTTAAGTTTTCCTGCATTCAAAAATCAAAAATAGTTTACCGGAAAGTCAATTTAAATTTATACAAGCGTTTGAAGCTAAACATTGGACTATTCAAAAACTCATAACCGAAGATACTTGAAATTTCCATCAAATATTAATTATTTTATGATTTTCTATACATGTTAATACTTTCAAAATATTTTGTTTCGTTTTGAGTTATTTATAGACATTTGAAACTGCTTAGTTTTTATTCGTTGGGTAAATAAGCTTGAAAATTTAATACAATGTTCCTTATAAGTTGTTATAATATATCAATTGTTAAATATTAAAGATCCATATTAAAGGCACTTTTTTTTCATAAGTATTTAATGTTCAAATTTTGACAACATTTATCAAAATCCTCAATATTATCAATTATTGTAATTAAAAAATGTTCAATTTTCATAACTAAAGAATTAAAATTAAATGTTTATATTTATATAAATGTAAACATTTGAATGTTTATAAGGTTACAGACGGGGCCCCCTCAAGCGGAGGGGGTGAGGGTCGGCTGGACCTGAAGTACAGGTGCTCGGCTATTTTAGTTGTCCGTTGAAATGAATTTGGAATTTTTTAAATTTTCATAGGAATACATATTATATATTAAATATAGATTTATATTATAATAATATAATATAATAAGTAATTTTGTTATTTTAAGCTGTGAGTTAAGCATTGATTAGTGATTACCTAGGAATCGTGTATTCGTGTATGAGACACCTGTACCGCTTGTAATAGGTTGTTTCGAGGGTTGTTTTATCGGAAGTTTTGTATAGGGCCAGCAAAAACATTAGTAAATTTAGTACAGGGACCCAAAATTTGATGTGGGAGCCTAGATATTTAAGTTTTGATTATTATCTACTGAAAGTAGGTACTAACTAGATAATGAAACAGCAAATTATACAAAACAAACAAACCTATTCCGAATTTTGATTCGAATTCAACTAATCATACTAATACAAAAAAAAAAAAAAAATCCGGGGGACTAATAGAGAAAGACTAGATATTAGTAGATTTGAGTGATCTATAGTGTTAAAGTGGACATTTTTAAAAATGTGAACTCAAGCAAGTACTGATTGTCTAAAATCTAGAAAATAAGAATTTTATGTTTATTGTGTTGACTGTTGAGTGTATACTTACGTAGTTACATATCATGGAAATTCTGTTAATAAAGGTTAAATAATAATTATTCAGTGAATCAAAATATAGGGTAATTGATTTGAAGGATTGAAACAAGTTTAGGCTTGAGGCTTTAGAATAATAATGCCAATAAGTCTACTATAATATAAACTATTCTTAGAAATATACGCCGATTCTCTCGTCTCCTTCGAGCAGAAGATGCCTCCTTACCGTAAACAATGATGAACCTATTCCTAAGACCTAAATTCAAACGTAACGCGTATCCATTACAATGACCAACTCAATGACGAGGTACCCACTCGAAACATATTATACAGTACACAGCAGAAGCTCGAGCTCCGGGTTTTCTCAGTTATTCCTCACACGTGTAAAGAAAAGATACTTAGGTACTTCGAAAGATTATTTAATGTACGGCGTGTATCTATTCTTTGTTAAATCAGATACACCGTTTACACATCTATTCTTTGTTAAATCGTCTTCTGTTAAAATTAAAATACAAGTAGGTACCTCGTAATCCTAGAGATTTAATTTTATATTAAGTTTAGAATTTTGAGTGTTTTTGTTTCATTTTTTCGTATGTAATGTTATTCTAATTTTATATACATATAACAAAAACATCTAATAAATTAATTTTAGTTACCTAACATTTTTTAATAGTCTTATGTGTTCTGTTATTCGAGCCCATAACCACAGTATGGTTTTTCGATAGAAATTAGTTTTTAATTGCTTTCAAATATAGGTATAATAAATACATCGCTATAAACCACTGACGAACCTAAACGACTCCAGAGAAATGCTAATTATCTCCTCAAGATTTTGTTTTTTGGTTTTGAACTTTTTGTTATAGTTTAACCGCTGTTTTTTTCGTTACTTATAATTTTTTTTTAAAGATTTTATTTTGAAAATTTTACAGCTTAATTATCACAATATATTACACCTACTTAGTTAATTTTATTTGACAAAACATACTCGGAACAATTTGAGAAATACTTATACGAGATTTGAACAAGTAAACAATTTTTATCGACAGACTAGTGCCCAATATAGTGTCCTATCCCTCTGATTTCAGCATTAGTCTAACTTTATTTATTTATTTCGTAAAAATATAAGCAACTTTTACTTTTTTTACCTGTATATTTTTATGACCTTAGAATTTTAGGTCGATATTCACAATTCATAAAAATTTGCCGAAAACGTGTTATGATAATTTAAGAAAGAATCATAATAGATGTACCTACTATCATTATATTACAATAACATAAAAATATTTTATACTACAAAAATTGTTTGAGTATGTAAACATACATTTTATAATATATTAATTGGTTATAACCTATAATTTATCAACATATTTGATTGTTAGCCATATTGATATTGAATACACATTTTACTTGATGCCGCAGACTTGGGTAAAATACTTTTTAATAGTATTTCAAATACATATTCCGAATACTTATAAATAAATAGTATTCAGAATATGTATTCGAATACTTTATGATAATAATATTCCTAAGTATTTGGAATACTTTACAAAAAGTATACCAAATATTTTTCGAATACTTTTTTTCAGTAGATTTAGATTTCTATATCAAAAATATTATTTTTTCAATTCTGTGTGTATAAATTAACATTATTATAATCTCGATAATACACACCTATCTGACTATCTATTAGTTATAAATTAATATAAGTAATAAGTAATAATTAGTAATATATAAGAGTATACCTTTATAAGAAAAATAGTATTCTGAATACTGTACTCAGAATACTTGTAAAAATTATTCCAAGTACAGTATTCAGAATACTACCCAAGTCTGCTTGATGGTTAACACTTAAATAAGTTTTAAAATAAGATCAATATGATTTATGTTGCATATTTGTTTTATCAGTTATCGAGTTATTTATTAAATAAAAATATTTAAAGCTTGAATGATAATTGAATAATCGTTTAAAAGTTTCTATTAGTTTTAAATACAATAGCTTCTAATGTTTAACAAATAACTAATGCGTTTTCAAATGTTATCTTTTACCATTGATCTTGGTAATATTTTATGTGTTGTTAATATTGACGTATATAGTTTTTGAAAATATTACACTTGTTTATAAAAATGTATAATATTATAAATGTTATCATAAATAAATTAATAATATTATATATTCATTAAATTATTCCCATGCGTAGTTGGTATTAAAATGTGATAATATACAGTCGAGTCTCGATAATTCGAATCTCGAGGGGAATAAAATTCGACTTATGAATTTTTTGAGTTACAAACTTCAAACCCAACATAAAAACACGAAATTCCAGTTATCGAGACTCGACTGTATTATAAATTACAATACTTACTATAATTGTTTACGGTATTTCTGTATTATTCAGTAGGTATATGTTTAGACATCAAATTTTTTACTTTGTTTTAAAAAAGATTCTAATTGTATTATAGGTAGGTGTGTTGATATATATTTTAAGTAGGGTTCCGTTTGTTAAATATTGGTTAAATTGTATTTAGCACTTTTAAATGTTTTAAAAACGTTTTTTTTTTTTGGTTTTACATCGTATTTACATATCCATGATTAAGAATTCGGTACGTAAGGGTTAAAAACTTATAATTTTAATCGCATATTATAAAAATGCATGTGTAAATGGGCGAATATTAGATATTGCTTGAGTCACATTAACTTTGATGTTTCGTTAATTCTGTATTATTTTTGTTTACTTACATTGCGTCCCTCGGAAGTGTTTGCCATACTCTGACCAAGAAATTCCAGTAATTGATTATTAACCAAACTGCACTCAAAATTGTAACTACATAAAGTATACAATATTTAAGCGAGATTAACAAAACGGCTACAGCAGTAACAGCTATGAACGAAACAAATGACACACTATGTTGATTGTCTTTATTCATGATTAAGGATATAAGTATAACGAAAAGGTAATCAAAAATAATTTTCCCAGCTATTAGCTTTAGCTCTACCCTCACACGCACACCGTGATAACTGTGTAACGACTAACGACTAGTTGCCGGTCCCGGTGGCCGGCTGGCGGATGTGCTTGGTTTGCCATAGACTATTCTGTATAACACACACTGTGTAGTCATATATTATGTAATACAATCGCAACAGCGACATCTGTTGGCACGGTACATATCTATTATAAAAAATGGTTTCAATACTAACCTTTGAAATCGTTTCGAACTAAATCCTAAATAGGTATTATTTAATATTTATTATAGCATTCTGTTTTATGATTAAATCCATACCCACGATATACATTTTTTTTCCTTAATACATCAATATATTTATTTAATATTAAAAATCATAAATGCATTATAAAACGTATTTTTTTATGTTATAAAAAATATGTATTTTATGAAAATCATCGAAATGTAATATAAAATGTATATTTAACTATTTTGAGTAGGTACTGGTCTAATAGGTATAAAGCAGATTATACTATTATTTTTTACCAATTACCACGTAGCTGATCCATCTAAACGCGCTCTAAACTCTATAGAGTATAGGTCAAATAATTTGTTATTGTAAATACGTTAAGACGTATAAAAATATGGTACCTAGATGTTCACTTTATATATTATATGTGTATTCAAATTAATATAAATATTACTCATTTCTGAAAATGTAATTTTTGTGCTTCAAGATCATATCAGTTATTTTAAGTGTGTTTGATACTTTGGAACGAAATAATATATTATAGATGAATAGGTTATAAGATTTCAAATTGTTATTGTTTTTTTTTTCAACTACTACTACTACATAATTGGAATGTCAATATATATACATTTACATTTTTTTTTTAGGTAATATGATACCTACTTATAACTTTATAAGTAAAAAAATAAATATTTACCTATATAACAATATACATTTTAATTTTCTATAATAATAATTAAATAACCAGATACCAGCTATCGCTATGTATTTTAATTTTTAACAGTTTCTATGAATCATAATATTATAAGATATAAATATTAAATATATCAATCAGTTTTAAAATTAAAAAAGAAAAAGTGGAACTAGAAATTATGAAATCAACAATGGTCTATAATGGTATCTAAGGACTAAGAATATTGTATATTTTAAAAATAATTTAAACCGATAAATCTCAGTGGAAGTATTAAGTTTGTTAATGTAAAATTTTGTACAGCATTTCTTAGTATTCCACACGAAATCGGGCATTGGCAATGTTTTTGTAACTTTTGAGTTACTTCTTTTATATTATTAAGTTTCGTCAATCTGTTTAAATGTTGTTCAAACATTTTCTTTGCAACATACTTATTGCTTGTTTTCAAAACATAATAACTTTAAAAAATATTGTTTTGTTTGAGGTCTATACGACTATAATACCGCAGGCTACAGTGATTAATGATTATGTACCAGGACCACATGACTCATGTTTATACCATTTTTATACGAATCTCTAATAATAATAATATATACGTAATAAACGATACTATACATCTGTATACCTATTACCTACACCTTGGCATGTATATTTTAAGTGTAGCTAAATTGTGATATGGTCACAGTATGCACAAAGTGCTTTTATAATTTTTATCAGAAATATAAAACCTATACTAGTGTTTCAAATTTAAATTGTAGGTACGTATATTGTTATTTGTAGATGAAATAATAATTCGTCTTTTATGAAAACGAACCAATTATTTAAAATAATTTGTAAGACATCATTTTTAACGATTAATTATAAAACATTGTGTTTTCTATATATATACTATAACATTTAATTATTAGCTGTTTTTAATATAAAATACGTTGTAAAAGATGATATTTGATATAATCAAAAAGTTATAGGTATATACCTACATTATACTTAGATGATAAATGAAACTTTGCACTTCAGTGGAAACTTAGTATTCTGGCCAAGGTACAATGTGTATTTATTTGTATAGATTATGCGTAACAGTTAATAACATGCATGTAATATTTATATTCATTACCACACAAACATAGGTTATAGAAGTTCACGATATGTTACTAATCTACATACATTTGGTATTTTATTAAATGCAAATAGTGTTCGTAGTTTGGCTATAATATTTGGATAGTAAGAAATAAATGTGTTCTAGTAAATTAACCAAAAGTTAACTAGTTATTGGTACCTATATTAGTATGTTAGTTTTGCAAATAATATTTTTTTATGGTAGAATTTCAAGTGATCTAAATGATAATGCTTATAGGTATAATATTTTATGAAATTTTTTTTTACGTGTAACATGTTATTAGAATATATGTATGTATTAATATTATTCGATATAATTATAATAATATTAATTTACAAGTGGACACGTTTCTATTCAAATATAATTTAATTTTTCTATTAAATTAAGCACAATCAGTTTTTGAAGTACTTACCTATAATACCTACCAGGGCCGGACTGGAAGGGTTTTGGCCCACTATTTTCTGTAAACAACCGGCCCATTTTCCTACATTTATCGGCCCAACTTAAACTAACAACAATTTTTTTTTCTCAATGGTATAGTAGTACAAGAATTATGATTTAGGAACTTTTTTATGTTGGTTAGAAAGAAAATGTAAAATATATCAATATACATATGGGTATAAATCAGTTACACTAAGTACCAGTATGACAAATTAATCAATTAAATCTTATTAATTATATATTTATGTAATTATGTGTACGATAATAATTTGGATAAAGTATGATAGGTAATTTGAATTTGTAATAATGTCCAAAACTCCAAAATATCTTCAAACTCTAAATCATTCAATATATCTTTTTCTACAGACATTAATAAAAAAGCATCAAAGGGGTCATCTAATGAAGCACGTAGACGATTTTTGATAATTTTTAATTTGCTAATAACTCGTTCACAATTAACCTGAGATACCGATAAGGTTAGTACATATTCCATGGTGGCATATAAATTAGAATAAGTAGGCAAATGTAAATTAACCAAATGAAGTAAATTAAAAACACTAATTACACAATTCTCTAAGGCATATATAGCTTTTACATCATGGATAGAACTAATAGTGTTCATATTCAGATCCTAAAAAAAATTTTTTTCATATAAGAATAGAATTCTTAACAAAAATATTATAATACCAATAAGGTAAACTTGAATAAATACTATAGCAGTAACTATAGAAAATACTTCAAAAATATCTATAATAATAATAGGGTAATATTTGGACAATAATATTTTTATACATTGAAAACGCAAGTGACCGAAAACAATGTTTATGTTTTTTGGTACTCGAGAACTTCCTTTAGAATATTTTTGTATTGTGAATAGTGTAATGTTGGGTAATTTTTATTTACAGTCTTTTAATTAGTTTTAAATGAAAATAATATAGCAAATTATAATAAATCTTCAATTATTATATCTTCAAAAAATAAATATATATATATATATATAAATATTTTATGTATTGATTTACGTTACAAGACCTATTGCCCAAATTAAAAATCAAGTATAAAAAAAAATAATATTGTTAGACCAGAAAAATAAAATAAATATCTTTCTTACAAATTCAGAAAAATTACGAATATAATAAAAATTGATCGCATTCCAAAGGTCATAACTTCGGTTAAAAACATTTTTATAGACCTCAGAACCTATGTTTCAATTCAGTAGGATACAGGGGTGAAAAAAAATGTGAGTTTTCTAAATTTTAAAATAGTCAATTAAGACCGCCTAACGTTCACTATCAGACCACTGAGGGCTGTCATCTCAGTGTTTATTTTTTAATATTTCCACCATGTTTTTGTGATAATACTTCCAACTGCCGAACACTCAGTAAATTTGCACTGATTCGTGTCATTGACATAAAACATTTTAATTACATATCTTAAATTGAACACAATACAATTATATTATGTGGTGCTACCTACTAAGTTCAACTAGTAAATGGTCTGTAAGTATAATAAGATTGATTTTAATATTTATGCATTTTATTTTGACATAACCGTAGATTGCGGCCTACTGTGCTGTAGAATAGTAGAACAGTGGCCCAGTCCGGCCCTGATACCTATTACCTACCTAAGAAAAGTATTCGTGAACCGTGGTTGTAATTTGTATTAACGTTTACGTATAAAACTTTTCTTTTATCAAATACATATAAACATAAATCATAATGTAATCTATCATGTTAATTTATATTATACACAATAGACACTGGTTGTAGTGACATACTGGGTTTAATGTCCTAAAATTAAGGGTCCCGAGTAAACTCCTCCGTTTTATATTCTATAATTTTCATCTGTTATGGCATTCTGATATTTACCACACGGATAGAATGAAATTTATTTTTGATTAGATTATAACAAATGGTTGTAATAAGTAATAACAATTAATAATATTATGTAATAAACTAGGGGACAGGGGACTGTAGAATAAAAGTAAATTCGAACACCAATGTACAATATAATAACCTTATAATTTACTCGTATTTTTACATTAAATAAATCTTTATTTTAAATTAATTAATATTTCATAACTTAAGAGGACGCTACACCCACATGTGTTGTCTCCAAAATATGTTTTGAAAAGTGAAAAATAGAAAAACAGAAATCTGTTTTGCGCTCGTTGGTAAGAACGACTCAGGTCGAAGTCTCAGCTAAGCTATACCAAATTTTAAACTTTGAAGAGGAAAACATTTACTGTGCAACGTTGATTATATTTTTTCTATATCGCAAATACGAAAAACATTATTATTGTTTAAAAATTCATTATTTTTGAGTTTTTCAAACTTGAATAACATTTTTTTTTAGGTCTAATATGGAAAAAATAAAAACAACATTGCACATTAAATGTTTTCCTCTTTATAGTGTGAATATTTGGTTGCTTAGCTTGGACCACCATAGCCTGAGTGGTTCTTAAAAACTGTTTTTTTCTATGTTTTACATTTGTAAGACGGAGACAATACATGTGGGACGTGGGTGTAGCATCTTAACGTGACCCAAAAAAATATGATCGTGATCCACAATTTGGGAACCTCTGATATAGTAGGTACCTATATACATTTTACATAAAATACCAATATTTATTCTAATATGTATAATGTATATTGAAAAATCCAAAAAATATTTTGTACATTTTATTTTATTATATATAATGTATTCATGTTTACAGGAAAAGAAATGGACAAACTAAAGCATCCATCTTTTAAGCCGTTAGAAGTTATTTGGAACAGAAATACCAGTACTCATAAACCAAAATTATTACCAGAATTAAAAGGAATTAATATAGAAGATAGTGTTGAAAAAGTTAAAAAATCGGCTAGATCTCCGGATGTCAAAACCAATGAAAATAAAACAGAACATGTTCACAAACGTGTAAAAAGAAGTTTATTCCCAGAAGATAAAATAGGAAAAGTATGCAAACATTCAGACTCAGAAGAACTAAATAAGAAACTTTGTAAAACTTTTGATTATGCAAATTGCCTACGAAAAAGACCCTATAGCATATACAAAGCATCTCAATTAAAATGTCCTACCAAGTCCCACCAAATTGTATCAAACCGAAAAAATACAATAAGAAATCAAGATGCTGCATTGCCTAAATCGAAACAGTGTTTATTTCCAACAAAAATTGTCAAAACTGAAATTTCGTCGTCACATACGGTTAATGATTCATCGGTCATGAAACCATCGTGTACTAAAGATCAACCGAATGCACGCACTAAAGTTGTCGGTTGTTCTAAATCTCCCGAGATTATGTCGAATCGAAAACGAGACGTTATGTCCAACAATTTGAAGGAGACTGATGTTTCTAGTTACGAAAGGTTGAATATGAACTATAAGACGTGTATTAACATACCAATTGACCAAGTACCAGAAAAAATAAATGAAAAATATAAAAATGTAAATACACACATAAGTAAAATGGAATCAAAATTAAACTATGTACATTCTGAAGATATTATTGAAAATTCCGAAAAAATAGCTTTGCCCGTTAAGAAAAAAAAAAAAAAAAAAAAAAATCGGATTCTTAACAAAAAAAATAAGATCAAAAACTTTGACAATGGTAAAGTACCAGAATGTAAGACATTTACCAATGGCAAAAATGAAATAAATTTACGAACAAATGAAATTCGAAAAAGTACAGAAATATCAACAAACGTTAAAACTGCATTTTGTGATGAAATTAATTTTGATTCTTTAGATATTATCAATACGGAAAATATTTTGGTGTCTCCTATAACTGAGTTAAAAACTGAAAGTTACTGCAGGGAACCTAAAAAATCAATAATTATGTTACAAGAAGATCAAAATCAAGGACCAGCAAAATTATGTATAATTAATGATGATAATGAAAGATATTCAGACACTTCTTTAACACATTCATCTTTGAAAACAAAAGAATTTGCCAAAAATACAGTTAAAGAATATTCAAAAATCTTTAAACATCATAAAGAAAAGCTTTTCAATCAGAATGAAGATAATATTATGTCATTTATGCATTCATCCGAAATAAGTGTAATCCCTGCCACTCCTGAACATGAAGCCATGAATGTGGACAATTCCATAGACCAGTACTCTCCTGAAACCATTTTAAGTCCGTACGTTCCATTGATTGAAGTCGATCAATCGCCTAAAACTCCAGACGGAAGAAATAGTCAAGTACTCATTCAATCTGTTCAAACTCCACCAAATGTTGATGGGACAACATTACCAGGTTTATTTGAACCTATAGCTTCTCCAACACAGTCCTTTGTCAATAATGAACTGCTATTTAAAGTATGTATTTAAAATTATTGTATAATAATATGAACACATTGTAATTTCTTTTTGTTTGCAGATTGACTCGGTAGAATCACCTAGAGCTATTCATGAAAATAATGATATTATCTTTTCACCCAAAATAAATAGGAAAAAATCAGACAATAGCCCATTATCACCTAATCGTTTCGACTCTGCTAAAAAACGTAAAAAAATGAGGTAAGATTTTTGACCTTTAGAAAAATAGTTTATCATTATTAAAATATTTTTTACAGTAAGGATGGATTGAGAGGAAAATTTCGAGATCTTATTAACCGTAAAAAATCTGAAGCTCGTATTCGAGAATATGAGAAAAGCTTGTCTAAAAGTTATAAACCAAAACAAGGTGAAACTGCAGTATTAAAGGTCATTGAAGCATGGAAGGAATTTAGAATGATTGTTCTACTTTGTTACTACATGAAATCTGGTAAAGGAGTTAAAATAATAATTGTAATTAAATTAAATCAATGTGTATCATTACTATTACAGTATAATATATTACAGATAAGGAAGTTCAAAGAGTGTTAGTAACTCTAGACAATTGTCCTTTAAATGCTGCCAAGAATAGTATAATACGTATATACTCTCCATGGCTGACAATTAAATCTGACATTACTGAAGTATTATTGTTTATTGGAATCATTCACGCTGAAGTAATTGAATTCTCAGAATCCATCACTAGGCCTCTTGAGCTTGTAGAAGGAAATACAGATCTCATTGAATTACAGACAACTAAATTTCAAAATAAAGTTTTATGGAAATGCAATTGTTCTAAAGGTATAACAGTATTGTTTTAATATAGAAAACTAATTATCTATACCTAGTAAAACTAAAATATAAAATATTCTAGTCTATGCTTGAACAAAACATAATATATATTTATATAAATCAAATACCTAATCTTAATATTTATATTTTATATTGATAATTGATGTTCAAATGTATAACGCTGGAGTGCCAAAACTTTTTTTTGATTCATATCTTATGATTTTAGTAATGTTTCATATTCAATTTCAAAATAAATTAATATTTTACTGTCAGCATAGAAGTGCGCCATTGGCAATTGCACATTGTTGGCAAGTTTATTATGTAATAGTTGCTAACTGCTAAATGAAGATGCTGCTCTAAATGATAATTAGAAAGTACAGCTTGGTATTCAGCTTTTATAACTTTTGTGTGAGAAAATATAATTTCACACAAATAGGCTGATCCGTAATATTTATGTAACTGTATATACTAAATATACAATAAAAAGTTCTAAAAATGGGGGATCGACTTTGAAATTATTCAAGATCGTCCATTTAGCCGCCCCTGGGATATAGAGTTGGTTAAATTATATGATTGACCAATATATTATAACAGTACTTATACTTTGTAGTGAAGTAGTGTGACTACTTTTATTCTAAATTTAAAACACCCTGGAAGCAAACTAATGTTCTCACAGTAATTAGTAAAACTATTATAATAATCAATAAACAATAAGTAACTAATAGATATTAAACATCTTAAACTACCAAACTATACTTATTAGCAGGGCTCGGGATTTAAAGCATTTGCTTATTTTTATAAATTGAATTAAAATGTAGCAGATTGCTATTAAAGTTACAATACGTTCAATTATGAGATTGGAAAGTGCTTTTTTGACGATTTTTCAAAAAAATCCTTATTAACAGTTTTTCTGTTTATTTTTGCTTTTTTTGACCAGTTTTTCTACTTTTTATGGTTTTATCCTGCAAAGTGGTTTTTGATAGAATTAAAATTAAATCATTCAATGCAATAATGACGGCAAGATTTAATTAATAAATTAATTTTTTTCAACTATTTGTAAATTTCGTTCACATTTTATTTTTAAGAAAATCCCTCGGAAAATCCATAAACAATAATGCAAAATGTCACGAAAGTGAAGTTTGATTTTTTTATAATATAAAAATTTATTTTTATTTTTATTTTTTAGTTAAATACTTTTCCTAGTCATTTTTTTAGCACAGTTATACAAATTATGTCTAGTACCTACTTTATGATGTAAAAAGGAAGTTTTTCTTTTTGACTGAATATTTTTGCTTAAATTTAAGTTCTTTAAATTCTTATTTGAGTGCTTATAATGATGTTTTTAAGCGGTCTTTACTTATTAGTATTCAATTACTATTATAAAAAATCACCATAATTTACCATGCCCAAACATTGTCTTTACAAATTAAAATATTTTGACATTTGCTTCTGTAACAATCACAATCACATTCTACATTAGTTGCTAATTTTATGTATACATATTAAAGACTTAATGTATATTTTATAGAAATGTGCTAATAATACATTTTTTTTAGATGCTGCCTGTCAATGCTTGGGAGAATTAAGTGTTTACAATTATTTGCAGTACATGATTCCTCATTACGATCCATTCATATAGGCTAAGGTTGCTTAAACTATTTTTATTTCTCATAGTTAATTTTACAATTAAATAATTACTTATATATATTTTTATAATAATGTTATTTGTATTTAGATTTTAATTTGATTATTATTGTTATATTTATTATATTAATTCAATTATGGAATATTTTATAAGAAACTGTTTGTATTTAGTTTTCTAGATAATTTAATTGTAATTTATGTACGCAATTTTCTTTAATTTGTCATCCAATCTATGTATTTATATTTTATTGTGAAAATAATACATTTTTTCAGTAATACTATGTTGTTACAAGGAATTTATAATACGCAACACCACACACACCTTGAGTATATTTTTGTCTATCTATATAGCCGTGTTTATATTTACTACATTAACTATTAATGGTGTATTTATTTTTTACTTTATTATTGAGAAACATAAGATTTTTTAATTTAGTTCCACAAGTTATGAACTATTTATAATGCAATTATTATTGTTACTTAAGTAAAATCTGATAAAAAATACATATCTCAGAACAATATTGTAGGTGTTTATGTAAGCATAAGGTCAAAATGAATAATTAATAATACAGTATCCAATATCCAATATCAATCAAATATGTTAAATTTCACAATAAGTTTTATATTTACATGTTACATTGATAATAACCTTTTTTATCTAATATATTGGCTGTTTACCTACCTGAAATTATATTTGTAATTTATTTAATTTTATTAATTTGTAGTGTTTGAGTACATGTTTTGGTTTTAAATTAAATAAATCATCGATTTGCAATTGTACTAATACACGACACTACGACAGTAAATAATAATATATAACAATTATTTAAATTTAAATTTTGTTTATTAGTATTTAGCATTTTATTTAAAAGATCTCTTCTTATCTTATTTATTAACGTATAAGTTGTTTTATTTATGAAATCATATTATCAGAGCATTCATTATAAGTACTATACCTATAATCCACAATCTATAGCTTATAGCTATATCATTATAAGTCCTACAACCTTAAAAATAATGCAGTATGTTCATAATTAACTCAGAAATCAGAATCAACTATTGTAGTTGACGCATTTTTTATGTAATACAATTTTTTATAATATTATAATTAAAGTGTATATATTTTTATTAGGGATACCTAGAAATGTAAGACTTTTAAAATAAAGAACAAAAAATTCCTCATTATTTAAGAGGATATCCTACCCCCACATAGGTTGCCACAATTTTTCAAACAAACAATATGTACCTATACCAAGTTTGCATTCATCAGGAGAAAATTTGTAGTGTTATCTAAAATTAGAGTGAAATTACCTATCATATAAAACTTGAATGTTAAAAATTATACTCTGTGTTTGTGTGTCAGTTGTTTTACAATTATTTAATTTTTACACCTATAATGAACATTTTGTAAATTGCAAAAATGGAATATCGCAAAGAACCAAATTTAGGGGGGCCCTAGGGGTCGCCCCCCCAAGTTGTATTTCTAAATAATTTTATACTGTTCAAAACACAAAATTACAAAAAAAAAATCGTCGACATTATCTGAAAATTATGACTTGCCCCCCCCCCTCCTAACCATGTCCCTGGAACCAATGTACGAATACTTAAGTAAAATAATACTACCTTTTAAGTATAGTACCCATATGTCTCCACCTAACACATAATATTGCACATTTTATGCTAGAGTGACTAATTATTACATTTAAAGCTAAAAATAATATCCAGGGTCCCCGTAAGCTTTTTTAATATTTTAACATTAAAGCAAGTTGTAAGTGTTTTAAATTATTTAAATTGTAATTTTTTTGTAAAGTCACTATCATTAAAATAACAGTAAAATGCATTCTTCTGAACATTACATACATTTTGATATGTTATCGCCAGAGGCGTATTTACGATTTTGGCCCCCAGGCCCCAAGGTGGGTACACATATTTTGGGGCCCCTTTTTTCTCAGTTTCCTTTTACTCGTTGTCACAAAAAAACTATTAAGTCCCCTCTAATAAGAAAATTTTTTGTTTTTCTCTCCTTTAAAAGAGATACCCCAAAATGTATACCTATTTATTATTTTTCCTCTTATTGCACTTACCTATGCTTCCACTAATTTAGAGAACACTTTTATTTTACCATTAACACTCCATTTATTCCTAATAAAAAAGTAAACCTTCATAATCAAATAAAACAAATTCAAATTTTAGATTTTAGCCTTTTTTTCTAAATCCTACATATGACAATATAATAAAATATTAAAATACATTTTGTATATACGGATGTACCTATATATATAGAAATATTGAAATATGTATAGAAATGTAAAAGATATAATAAGAAAAATTACTGGTTAGATATTACTTATTCACTTATGAGTTATCACTAATATAATTTCTCAAAAAATCCAATAAAATAATAAAATAAATCATTTTTTAGATTCTGAGTGAAACGATGAATGTATTGATTTTACAATGATGTGTGTTTTTTTTTTTATTTTTTTATTTTTTTATTTTTTTATTTTTTATTTTTTTATTTTTGTGTCTGTGTACACGATAAGTAGTCGAAATAATGCTTCGATTTTCGACTTCAGTATCTTGTTCGATTGGAAACTGAATATCGTTGGTGCATTGGGGAGGTCAAAATTTAAAATTCCCAATAGTTTTCACAAGCGCCGGGAAAAACAACATAAAAATTAAGGAAAAACGGGAATTTTTACGCAAAATCAGTTTTTGACAAAATCGAATTTGGTTTTTGGTGTAACTTTGAAACAAATGACCGTAGATACATGAAATTTTCACTGGTTGTTTATATTTGCATTTTCTATACACGATAAAATTTTCAAAAAATTTTGATTTATTTTGAACTGTTTAGGGACATTTTCATTTTCCATTTTTTTTTAGTTTTTTTTCTAAAAATATCAATAAAATGTTATTTGTTGGTTGCGAAAGCTTGAAAATTTAATAGAAGGCTCCTAATATGTTGTTTCAAAGGCAGATGAAAAATATTAAAAATCCTTAGTCACAATTTTTTTTTATAAGCATTTAAAGTTCAAAAATTGACAAAATATGGAAAAATCACGAAAATTAGCAAATTATTTTGAGTTAAGAATTCGTAAAAATTTTTCTTTTTAAATCTAAGATTTGAAAATGAAACACAAGATTCCTTATAAGATTATCTACCTTTATCAATAAAAAAATCTCTACCGGACAGTCAAATTAAATTTTTATGAGCGTTTGAAATTCAAATTTTTACAACATTGGATTTTCACTCGATTACTCATGTAGCGATTTCCTTATTTTGTTGCAATTCAAAAACGAACAACTGTAGATACATGAAAATTTCACTGAATGTTTAAATTAGCATTTTCTATACACCATACAACTTTGAAAATATTTTGACTCTTTTTGAGCTGTTTATCGACATTTACAGCTTTCAATTTTTTTTAGTTTTTTTTTCTACAAATATCAATAAAGTTTTATCTGTTGGGCCAAAAAGTGTAAAAATTTAATACAAGGCTCCTGATATATTGTTACAATAGCAGTTGAAAAATATTAAAAATACATAGGCACAGTTTTTTTTTATAAGCATTTAAAGATCAAATGTTGACAAAATTTATCAAAATCTCGAAAATTATCAATCATTGAAATTAATAAATTATAAAATGTTCAGTTTTTATAGCTAAGGATTGCAAATTTAAAACAAAGGTTCTCATAAATAGTTCATACTGTAACCAAAAAATCTAAAAAATATATGAACACAGTTATTTTTTACAGACATTTTAAATTCAAATTTGGACGAAATTACATATTAAAAAACCTAGAATAACTATTTTAGTTATTTTGTTGTGATTGAATAATATGATTCGTGGGTACTTGAAACTTCTAAAGTGTACTATTATATATCTATGATAGTATCACGGTTTTTGTTGATGTATAACGCGTTATAAGTACCTAATGGATATTGTGATATGATTAATTTGGAATTCATTATAGGTCAATTTTTTTAATACCATAGATAAGTATATAATATGTCTTATACATACACTGACATACCGTCACCGCTCAGAATCGTTTTTCTTATACAATGATATTATATCATTGAATTCAAATTTAATACCATCCATTATACAGTGACCCACTTGTAACCTACTGTACAGCAGAGCGACACCCACTTGCCCACCTTTTTTATGTTATAAGTTTGAAAACAATTTAACCTCTAGCAACAGCGTTCCTTTGAGGGACTCAGAATTTGGCGCCCCGGGGCAATTTCAACCCCCATCACCCCCTCCCCTAAATACGCCACTGGCTATCCGTTAGCATGACAGAGACAACATAATATTATTCAGGTAAGACATTCCCTTGACAGACATTTTTATTACCTATCTAGTTTAAATAGTAAGAACAATGTTTTATTTAAAACTAACAAAATATTATAAATAGGTACTTACTTATTACATAATAGGTATACTTATAGGTATATGAGTTAGGTATTTACCTACTTATATCCATACATTCTATAGTCTAAATAGGCTATAGATTCTTTTATAGATTAGACGTTTTTTAATAACCTTCAAGTAGGCAATAATTCTAATTAATATTATAATATAATATTATTATGTAGGTATTGTTTAATGTCTATTATCTCTTTATGACTATATCTATTATCTATAGAACTATAGAAGCCAGAAGGTAAAAAAACTTCAGATAACAAATATTAAATATATAAATTATTGTAGGAAGTTAAGTTAAGTTTAAAAAAAGTTATGACAATACGTAGGAAATATAAAAAGCTACCTAATCACAAAAACACAAAAATTGCATTAAATATTTAATAACATGTTATACACACCTACGTATTGTTTTAATAAGTAGAAATAAATTCTTATACCGCCTATATCTACTTATAAATGGTTATGAGATCATTTAAAGCACTTATTAAATAAAAGATTAAGAAAAGCTGAGAAGATCTCAAGGTTAGATACTATAAAAATTGTTTTCAAGTGATAATAA